TTCCTTCCTTCCTTCCCTCTCTCTTTTCTTTCTTTCTTTCTTTCTTTCTTTCTTTCTTTCTTTCTTTCTTTCTTTCTTTCTTTCTTTCTTTCTTTTTCTTAATTAAGAAAATTTTTTCATTAATTTTATACACCAAGATCCCCCTCTTCCCTCCTCCGGCCCCCCCAAGCCTCCCCTTCCCAACGCACCTCCCCACTTGCCACCATGAGAAGGCAAGGCCTCCCATAGGGAGGTACATCCAGTAGAGGCAAGTCCAAGCCCTTCCCCCAGCCTCAAGGCTGCACGAGGTGTGCCATCATAGGTAGTGGGCTCCAGGAAGCCTGCTCATGCACCAGGGATGGATTCTAATCCTACAACCAGGGGGCCCCCAAGCAGTTCAAGGTCTACAATTGTCTTGCCATGCAGAGGGCCTAGTCCAGTCCCATGCAGGCTCCACAGCCATGGATCCAACTTTCCTGCATCCCACTACAAACTGAGACTTTAATTGGTAGGTTTTAGTACATGTTACACCAAATTGGTCCAGGCCACTCTGCTTGCATCTGTAAGCTTAGCTTCAGTATCCTGTGATCCATTGCTCTGAAAATGAGTTTGGTAATATTGCCTGCAGGTCAGCCTTGGGACAGTTTGAGGAGACTGTAAACATTAGCTTAAGGATTTTTTTCCCTTTTTAACTTTGTAATAAATGGTATTTTTCATTTTTAGGCCAAAAAATCATTCTATTGGTCAAGAAAAAGGACCCATTCCTTTGTTGTGAATGTGCTGGCTCAGGCTTTGTATGAATTGTTTTCTGCCACAGATGGTAAGTTTAGATGTTTTTAAGTGAACATCACTTATTTGTACAGAGTTTTAAGTTTCCTTGGGGTAAGGGACTTAATTACAAAAGTTAGTAGTTACAGTAGTTAGTCTGTAACCACAGTTTACTTAACTTTGCCAACTGCCAATTTGGTAGTTCTTTGTAGTGTCTGAGCATCATGTATCTACCACTTCACCTGGAGGCTGTTGGCTTTCCTGAGAAAACATCCCTAGTGGTATCTCAGTAACACATCCATTCAGTTTCTGTGGTCCAGACTAGAGCAGATAGGTCCTTACATGCTAAAATGCTGATAGAAGGCCTTTCTGGCCAGGTATGGAAAAGCAGTATGACTTTTTACTTCTTACACTGGTTTGAATTTCTTTTGAAGTATTATTTATGATATGAATAGGCGCTTCAAATTGAGGTTGGGGCTTCTTTCCTGCTACAGTTCACAAGTGGCATTCATTAGAAATAGCCATGTGTTTTGTTTTGTTTTCTGTAGCATAGAAAGGTTGGCCACTCTGTCTATAAGTTGAACATCCTAATAATGAAACTTTGAAATTCTGAGCTAGGCATGGTGATGCAAACTTGCCCTCCTGGTCCTCAGGAGGCTGAGGCAGGAGGACTGGGATGTCAGCCTGAGCTACCCAAGATTGTATCTCAAAACAAATGACACTGATCTCGCACTGTCTCAAAACAAATGATACTGGCATTTGTACCGCCTACCCCTGTGTCACACTCAAAATACTAAATAAAAATTTGTTTAAGAAACAGACAAAACAGAGTAAACATCTAGATTTGAGGTGCTTCAAGCTCCTAGCTTGAGCTTCTTTGTGCCTATTAGAAGAGGAGATGGGACAGAAGTGCCTCCCATAGTTGATGGGACGGAAGTGCTTCCCATAGTTGATGGGACAGAAGTGCTTCCCGTAGTTGATGGGACAGAAGTGCTTCCCATAGTTGATGGGACAGAAGTGTTTCCCGTAGTTGATGGGACAGAAGTGCTTCCTGTAGGCGAGAGTCATCCAGCACCAACAGCTCATCTATTGTGATTTGCAAGGCAGAGCTGCTGAATTGGAGCGGAAGTTAAAGTGGCTGCTTGGGCAAATAAGAGGAAAAGAATTTAAGTTTTGAGTTTTCTTAAGTGCTTGAATTCTTACATATCAAAGCTGCCAACAATATTATAGAGTTAATGACAGATCAGGGGAGGAAAAAACTGTATGGAACAAAAGTTTACCATATTTCATCCTTAAAAAAATCTTGTGAAGAAAACTCTAGCTGGGGTGGTGGTGCACACCTTTAATCTCAGAACTTGGGAGGCAGAGGCAGAGGCAGAGGCAGGCGGATCTCTGTGAGTTCAAGGCCAGTCTGGTTTACAGAGTGAGTTCCAGGACAGCCAGGGCTACACAGAGAAACCCTGTCTGGGGGAAAAAAGAGGTTATTTATTGTTAGTTAGTTATTATGTTTTGAAGGCTTCAAAACATATTAAAAAGTTATGTGGATATAAGGCAGAGATTCATTTCTTGATAACTAATGCTAACTCAGCACTATGGGTTAGGCATCCCAGAACCTGGGAATTTTGTTGCTAGTATTGTGTTTTTATAGTAAGTGCTTACAAACTATTTGGTGTCATTTAATTAATTTACAACAAAATCATAACTATTTGAAGGTATCTCATAAGACCTAATACTTAGGTATTAGTAGAATTAACAGAAACAGAGTATTCATACTCATATTACCACTTATAATATTAATTTGAGAATGTAAAAGAACTTCTGTTTGTTGAACTCTAGGACTTTTAATAAATTGTCATGTTTGGCATTTTTATATCTTCATTATTTTTTCTGACTTAATTACTAACGTGCTAAGAAAAGTATGTAATAATTTCTACATTTTCTTTTAGATTCCTTGCATCAACTACGAAAAGCTTGCTTTCTTTATTTTAAACTTGGTGGAGAATGTGTGACGGGTCCTGTTGGGCTGCTTTCTGTGTAAGTTCTAACAGCAGAAGGGGAACAGTTTATGCCAGTCTTTACTCCACGGACATTTAGTTATATTCTCTTACCCATTAGTATCCTGGTCACGAGGAGCCCCAAGAGGCCAGGGTGTGTCTCAGTGGGTAAAGTGCCTGCTGCAAAAGCTTGGCATCCTTAGTTCCATCCCTAGAACCCATGAGGAAGAATGGACTCTACAAAGTAGTCCTCTGACCTCCACATGTGTGCTATGGAGTGTGTGTGTGTGTGTGTGTGTGTGTGTGTGTGTGTGTGTGTGCGCGCGCGCGCGCGCGCGCGCGCGCGCACATGCACGTTTAAAAAGTGGCATCAAGTAATGAACAAAGAGCAACAGTTAGCACTGTGCTGTCCTCCAGGATGCAGACACTGATTAGAAATGGAACAAGGTGGCTAACCTGCCTCTCTAAGTAAATGTGAAGCGTGGTTTTCACCTGTGGTGTCTTCACGTCTGATCTACAGGAGCCAAGGATAATGGAGAACTCTGGGTTCAGATACTCATCTCACTGGCTTGAAGTTCAGTAGTAGTTTTGCTAGTGCAGATGTATCCTTGGGAAGTCTGAGAAGTGAAATTCTTCAAGGCACCTCTTACTGATCTGTAATCAGAGTATCAGTACTGATGCCAGACCCAGACTGCAGTGGGCTATTTTGTACTTCATTTTGGATCTCAAGAGTAGTGGAAGAAAACAGCTGAAAACAATGACTTAAGAGTCATTCTTGTCATCAAATGCAGATAAGTCCTCAAGTGTAGATGCCTTAAGCTTTTCCCGATGACACAGAATCAGGACCTCCGTGAGCAATTTTAACTCTGTATTCTTCTCTGTTGCAGACTGTCTCCTCACCCTCTGGTGTTGATCCGACACTTCTTTGCCGTTGCCGTCTACGCCACATACTTCTGCTTTAAATCAGAGCCATGGGCCACGAAACCCCGAGCCCTATTCAGTAGTGGTGCTGTACTGTACAAGGCGTGCTCTATAATATTTCCTCTCATCTATTCCGAAATGAAGTATCTGATTCACTGAAGGGGAACCACGTGGAAGCCAAGTCCATCGGAACTTGCCGAGGATGTATATAGCATAGAACTGTATGACTTCTGCAGTGGCGACTCAAGGCCCAAGCTTGTGCAGAAGCATGTAAATATATGCCTTAATTTACAGTTGAAAATCAAGGGTCAAATAAGCTAGATGTTTAAAAGAATGATTGTTTCCACAAATTAGTGCTAACACTGAAGTTTTTCTTTTGATGTCAGTATTTGGGGTGATTCATTGGCACATGCAAATAAAATGAAGAGTGAACTCTTACACCTGTTTTGTTTTTTGTTGTAGACTTCTTTATATAGCTTCATGGTCACAGAAAGGATAACCCAGGTGGGGCAGAGAGTGCAGTTATTAAGCCTGTTCTATGTATTCACTTATTATTGATTGTGTGTGTGTGTATGTATGCAGGCATACATGGGCGTGGTGCACATGTGTGCATGTGGAGGCCGGAGGCTGACATCATGTGTCTTTTTTTTTTTTTTTTTTAAGATTTATTTATTTATTATGTATACAGCATGTTTGCCTGCAGGCCAGAAGAGGGCACCAGATCTCATTGCAGATGGTTGTGAGCCACCACGTGGTTGCTGGGAATTGAACTCAGAACCTCTGGAAGAGCAGTCTTAACTTCTGAGCCATCTCTCCAGCCCCTCATGTGTCTTCTTAATCCCTCTTCACATTATATATATTTGAGGCAGATCTCTTGCTCAACCTGGAGCTCTAGGCAATGGGTACCACTAGCTACAGGTTCAGGCAGACTCCTACCATGTCTCATCCAAGTTATCCTGGTGGGATGGATGGCAGCTCCCTTTCAGAGGAATTTTCATGTAGAAACAAGTTAGGATTTTAAGTCTTAAAAGTTTGTTGCTAAACCTTAATACCCCCATCCAGCCCCCACCCCTACTACCTTCCAAATAAGGAAAAAGAAAATCTTATGGACAGCAAGCTGGTCGTCAGCTCAGCCAGAAGAGGCGGGAAGAGCAGCTGGCACAGGGAGTGCTCCAGGAGCTGCTGGGAACCCCCAGGCTGTCTGGGACTAGAAGACGGCAAACCTCCAAACACAGCACGGAGGACAGGAATCGAGTTACTACTGGGGCAACTCAGGACTGGCAATATTATTTTACTGAAGATCTGGAGTTGCACAAATAGTTCTTTAGAACATAAAATGAAATGGATTCATCCATCACAGTTACACTGAGTATTTAGAAGAGGCAAGTATAAAATAGTTCTGCTTCCACATGATACAAATTCCATATAATACCATGATTTAAACAATATATTAGAGCCGAGAGCCATCCTCCCTAGAATGGCTGATGAGTCCCACAGTGTAGGGAAAAATGCAAGCTGCATGAGCAGTCAAGTTTCTTTTCATTCCCAAGTTCATTTTAGTTACAGGAAGATCATGAGGCTAGTCCTGCCACGGATGCGGGAGAAGGAAGTCACAGGACCGTTCGGAACTCATCGAAGATGAAGTTAGGCACGTGTGCTTCGGCCACCTGGAGGAGTAAGCACAAGTTAAGTCAGTCCTAGCATTGCAGCTGAAAGACTTCCCAGCTTACACATGAAAATTCAGGAAGTGCAAACACTGCTGGAATAGGGTGAAGTGCTGGAGTGAGCTGCCTCACAGAGGTGAACTAGCAAACGGCCCTTTCATTGTTGGTGTCTCCATGTCTCCTTCCAGTGCACCCCTAATACAATCAGAGGGGAGGCCCGCTGCCTGTAAAGTAACTGTAGGCTTGGCTCTTAAAGGCTCTTTGATCTAGGAATACACATTTGAGAGGCAATGAGGAGAAACCTGAGGCCAGAGGGGAAGACTAGGAAGGTCTTGAAAGGCCTGCATTCCTTAACGGTTTTTAGTAGAAGCAAGGAGGAGGCAGGGCTGGGCTGGGGTGGGAGATGGAACAGGTGATCTTTCTGAGCCAGAGAGGAGTTTGAAAAACATTGCTGAATTCCTCTGTGTGTGTGTGTGATCATGAAGATACCTACCTGCTGGGTAGAGAACATGCAACAAATGTGGACAGCATAAAAATCCTGAGAAACTAAAACTAATGATTAAATTTGTATTCTGGCTGTGGTGGTAGCCCTCGCCTTTAATCCCAGTACTAGGGAGGCAGAGGCAGAACTCTGAGTTCAAGGCCATCCTGACCTACAAAGCATGTTCCAAGACAGCCAGGGCTGTTACACAAAGAAACCCTGTCTCAAAAAATAAAAAACAAAACCAACCAAACAAACAAACAAAAATTGTATTCCTAAAATCCACACTCACTCAAAATTCGGACCATGTAAATTTTTAAGCACAGAGATTTTATTAAAGGTATTTCAATAGAGGCTCAAGCACGAGGTTAGTCACAAAAAGGGTGCTCAGAAGCAAGATATATCCAACTGTGGTTTCAGCTCATTATGGAAGGGTTGATGGATCTTGTAATCTCTTGTCACCCCTGAAAAATGTCTGCACACCCTTGCACATAGATTGGGGGACATTTGCACACATATGTATTATATATGTGATGTTTAGCAGGTAGACTCTGGGCAGCAGAATTTCTGGGGCTAGGGTAAATATAATCAAGTTTAAAAAGAGAGAGAAAGCTGGATTCCTCTCAAAGGCTAGGGTTGCTATATTCCTATTCACACCATGGAGAAGAAGCCCAAACACAGCCCAACATTTCCCTTGTCAACAATCTGGTTTGGTTTGTACCTTGGATATAAGTAAGGTTGAGCCTTTTCCAAACATTTACCCTAAAAAACTGCCTGTTAATGTCCTTTGTTCATCTCTCTACTCAACAGGTCATCTTTTTCTTGACTGAGTTGAAAGAGAACGTTATAAATCAAGAAAATGTCCCCTTTTTTTGATTTATAGGTAATAATTCCTATTTTATCTCTTGCTTTTTTTTAAAGAGGCATTTGATGGAATTTAACCTGGCATTAATTAGAGATCGAATCTGAATCTTTACCTTTCCATTTTCTTCTTTATGTGTTATGGCGAGGAAGTTGTGTTGGTACATATTTATCTAGATGTCTGCTAACTTACCTGCTTCATAATTCATACTGCCTGCCATTGGTTTTTAACAACACAGGTGCCACTCTGAGTCCACAGCATGAGTCCCTGTTCCAGAGCCACCGTATGGCTATGGTCTGCTTCTCTCCTGATGTGAGGCATCACTTTGTCCTTATACAGTTACATGCACAGTCTGTGCGCTGGTCCTACTGTTCTCTTACCAGTACCATGCTACTTTCACCTCTGTAGTTTTATGTGTTAATGTTAACTTGTGAGATGTAATAACGTTTTTTTCTAAAGAAAGTCCTTATAAAAAGTCATACTTTTTTTTTTTTTAAAAAAAAATCAAGTTAAAGATTAACTGGGGCTTTGATTATAATTACATAAATATATAAAGTTGGTATCTCACTGATAGGTATAATTTGAAAGTCCTCTCATTTGAAACACAGACTTTCAAAGCTTAAGATTTTGAGACGCTTAAGCACGAGGTTAGTTGAAAAAAGGGTGCTCAGAAGCAAGATACATCCAACTATTTCTTCTAGTGTCTATTATTTAAAAATATTTTTATTACTACTTATTATGTGTATAAGTGTGTCTTTGGAGGTCAGAGGCATGTCAGATACCTTGGGGCTGAAATTACAGGCAGTTTGAGCTGGCTGATGCAGGTGCTAGGAATCATCAACTCGGGTCCTCTGCAAGAACAGTATGTGCTCTAACCACTGAGACACCGCTCCAATCTCTAGTAGCATTCTTAATTATTTCCTTAACTATTTTAACTATTTCCTTCTTCTGTGATGGGACCTTTCTCTCATAATTTAAGTTATTTTGTCCATTTATTATTTAAGTAGGTTATTTATTGAACTTGTTTTTATTTTATTTATTTTTGAGACAATATCTCACTACATAGTCTTGGCTGGCTGGGAACTTGCTATATAGACTAGGCTGGTTTCAACTCATCGAGACCTGCCTCTCCCTTGAAAGTGCTGGGATTAAAGGCGTGTGCCACCCCCACCCCCCAACTTTTACTCATCTTTTTATTTTTTTCAGTCCTGGTGTTGAACCCAGGGCTTGCTCTACCTCTGAGTTATACCCCCAACCACCTGAACTCATTTAAAATTTCCCCATGATTCTATTGAGTTCTCATTACACTTTTTTTTTTTTTTTTTGGTTTTTCGAGACAGGGTTTCTCTGTGTAGCTTTGTGCCTTTCCTAGAACTCACTTAGTAGCCCAGGCTAGCCTTGAACTCACAGAGATCCGCCTGGCTCTGCCTCCCGAGTGCTGGGATTAAAGGCGTGGGCCACCAACGCCCGGCGAGTTCTCATTACACTTTGAATAAGCAGCACACATTTTATTTCTTCCCAAATCTGTCATATTTAGTTTCACTTGTTATCTAACATCTATACAACGAAAATAGGGAACAAGGGTCGGTAATATCATATGACTTTTACAGTCCTGACACCAAGAACACCAGTCATTTCGCTAAGTATTGCAAGATCATGGAGCTCTAAAAGATCATCTTTGGCTTTAGTTAGTAAAATGCCTTCAATTAAGAAAAGACTCTTTTTTTTTTTTTTTACATGTATTTATGCACACAGGCCACTGAATGCCTCTAGAGGTCAGAGGACATCTTGCGGGGCCAGTTTTCTCCTTCTACCGTGTGGGTTCTGGGGACTGAACTCAGATGGTTAGGATTGGCAGCCAGTGCCTCCATCTGACGATCCGTGTTGCTGGGTCCCATTTCTAAGTATTAATTTTCAGCATTTGTTATAGTCTTTACATTTCTTACATCAAGCCTTCCTTTGCGCTTATAACTTCTCAAGGTTGATATTATTTAGGAGGACAAAGAAGGAATTTCCTAGAAGGTAAAAAGCAGTTTTTCACTTCTGGAAGGAGTGGCCATGCACAGCTTTGGCTGTGGCCTGACCTCACATGCTGTGGGCCCTAGGCTGTCAGGAGAGGAAGAACAGAGCACCCGTGGTCATTTCTTTCCCTGGCCAGTTAGAAATCCCTTCCTTGCTTGCTCCTCTCACTGAGCTGGCCCTCAAGAGGGTGGAGGGTGAGGAGGGGGACAGGAGCCCTCCACTGTGCAGGGAGGAGGCTCCATGGAGAGCCTGCAGAGCAGTGGGAGGGGCCGAGCGGCATCTGCCGAAGACCTGCAGGACTTCACCCTGAGAACGAACACCCAGGCTGCTGTTTTCACACTTACGGACAGGTGTCATCCTTTACTCTCGGTGGCCTACCTTGCGGGGGAGCTTTGTGTACCGAACATAG